CTTCTTCTTGCCATGGAACATCTGCAGGTATCGTTCGTACACGGGAGAGCCCAGGCCATGAACCACTTCAAGAAGCGCACAACGGTCCACGGCTACATCAGCGCCTGTCCACCGATGCTGGGGGTACGTCGTGAAATACGTGCCTGCCAACGCCGTGATGAGACCATTCGTAATGATCTTGGTCGCGATTGCTGGAGTAATGGCTGAACCATCGACAACAAACAATTCGATGACGCTTGAATCCCATCTCCCATTTGGCAGCAAGGCCAAGAGTAACCTGGTTGACAAACGACTCCGCCCAGAGCAAAACACTTTCAACATTCGTTCGCGATACCGCTGTGCAGACAACGGCGGTACACCTTGGCGAATATGAACACCTCTCGCCTTGATCTCCTGTCGCAACGCCTTTCGAAAACAATTGAGCTGGCCAGCCACGTTGATACTCAAACTGTGGCGAATCATGCCTGTGATGTCGGTCTGCGTCAGGGCGAAAACGAACTTGAAGACCGTTGCCGTGACGTGAACGTCGCAAGCACTCCACACGCGATGCCAATCTTGATGCTCTGGGCTGGAGACGTACGATGATTCAACCACCAAGTTAGAAGAGCCTTTATCAGTACATGCCGATCTCAATTTGCGGGCGAATGTGTTGGCTATCGGGGAGACAGCCGATTGGCGAACGAGAGCTTCCTGTACACACTTTGCCGTGCCCCTCTCCAAGACTTGCAAGTGCGTGACCGACGGCAGCACCAGATACAAGTATTGGCCACCCATGCGAAGAAGCATGCCCATGCCAACTTCAGACTGGAAGATTTTTGAAGATTGGCCAACTGTCGATGTACGCTCACATAAGACTGGAGTCCATGCCTGAATGCTCGAAGATTCTGGCCGCAGGCCTTCAATCTGCATCCTGCCTACCATGTTCTGCGGAAGCAAATCATCCATTGACGATGCCCCAGCTGTCTTGACCCTCATCGGCGTCTCGTCGTATCTGGACATATCAACAAACAGGAGCCGATCTCGAGCAGGGACGCTGCGCATCACAGCCTCCTGCACAGACCATTGCAAGGAAGCTTGCCCGTTGATAATGCAGGCTGCCAAGATATGCGTGCGAGATTTCAATACCTTCGTTGACACATTCATGTTTTGAGCGCTGGCAGAGGATGAAGCTAATTTGACTGTGTCAACTCCCAGCAAGTGCGCACCGACTGTGAGAGTGTCTGCATCGAGCTGTGCACCTGGCTGCTGCGATGACACAATGCAATCCATAAGATATTTTGATAAAGGCCATGGCGTGCTGAATTGTCGATTCTGCCGCAATCGTAAGAATGCACCTTCTCCAACTTCGTAGCACAACTGGGGTCGAACTCCACTGGCTGCCAATCGTTCGTCGTCAGCTGGCGGTCGTCGCAGTTCCCTCGGCACTGGTGCCACTGGGCGCTGATCCACCGCCAGCTGCTGGTCACCGAGCCGCTTCTCCCAGCCTGGTCTGCGCCCCCTCCGCCTCTGCGGCGGCGGCGGCTGCGCCAGAAGCGCGGCCAGTTGGGCCGAATCCAGCTGAGAGTCTGGCTCTGGACGTGGCTGCTCTGGAAGGCCGTCGCTCTCGGGCTGATCCTCAAGGTCAGAACTGCTGTCAGGCCGGCGCTCAAGCTCGATTGCGTCGGACCAGCCAGTGATCGACCCTGGCGATTCTGGAACAACTGGGTCAATCAAATCAGACCAGCTCCCATTAGACTCTGCATCCATACGCACGGACAAGGGCCCGTGAGACGCCACAGAACATGTTTGGGCCAAAACAGCAATGGGAAATAAACAATTATCGCTGTGCTATCGACACCACCATACCCTAGCAGGCAAACATTGAATCACGTTCACTTTTTAGGGGGGGATATGCAGCGGGGAGTTGTTCCCGAGGACAATTTGGGCAGGAGGGTTTAACGCACTATCTCCCCGAAGGTTTACGATCAGCTCTTTTTAGTACAACTTTGATGGGGGGGCTGAGGACAACTTTTGGACAACTTTTGGGCAACTTAATTATTTCCAGGAATCCGAGGTTCTCAAGCGCAGGGAAACCTCAACCCAAGAGGCCACCAAGAGGCCCCCAAATGGCCCCAAAAAGCCCGCCAAAGACCTCCGAAAAGTCCCCAAGAAGCCTCCAAAAGGCCCCAAAGAAGCCCCCCAAAGGCCACATAGCGACTGGAGTGTAATATTATTTCCCCCCCTGGACGAACTGCGGCGCAGCGCCAGCCAGGTGGAAGTTGGTCACGGCGGCGCCCATGATTAGAGCCAGCGCTGGAAGGGAAGATGGGGAGGGAGTCAAAAAAGGGGGGGAAGAGGCCAGAAGAAGTCCCCAAGAGGCCCAAAGAAGCTCCCAAGAGGCCTCCAGGAGGCCCCCAAGAGGCTCCCAGAAGGCCCCGCGACGTGACTGCACGTGTTCCGGACGTGCACCCCGCGAAGCGAGAGGAATCTTTATTACACTATCGTCGAGTGTCACTCAACG